GAATACGACAATCGCAAATTGATGTTAAGCCCGTCTCACACAGAACACGATTGGGCACACGCTTCTCATACGGTATACTCGGTTACACACGGATTGACTGGTACAAGTGTTTAGCTCCAACAGTGCCTGGGATTACTAGTAGTTGGTACGAGTAAGATTCGAATGCAGCTCAAGTATGTACGGATAAAGCACGGACATACTCGGTCAAACAAGGTTTTAACACGAGTTGCATACTAATACATACGATTATTGTACGGTACCAAGAACGTTCTAATACGGTATGGTACGATTAAACACGACCGTTGCTCGATTTACACGCCTTTCACAGGGTTAACATAGGTTTCCACAGATTTTTGTTCGAATTATGCTCAAATTATCAGACATTTGTGTATGTTTGATATAAATTGACCCATTTATGTTCATGGCTTGGCTTCATAATTGTTCGAACTTTCAACAATAAAGCACCTATAAATGTGGAAAATAGTTATATAAAACAAAGCTGATAAAGGATAAGGGAATAAGAAATCATGATAAGACTGAAAGACATTGTTGGGTCCCCCAGCTTATCAGGTTCGGCAGGGTCAGCAAGTAGGAGATGTCAGTAGGCAAGGATCCTTCATAAATTGGATACATTCTAGCAGTTGAAGGTGGCAGCAGGGAGATGTGCTCTTTGTTACACAGTTCGTAATACCGTACGAGGCCTTGAGAGACCGTGTATACCCGTGTTATGCCGTGTCTGCCATGTGCGATAAGTACTTGCACCGTATCGGTCGTATGGCGGTTGTATGAAACCGTGTGTGCACTCGTGTGAACCTACCGTGATCGCGTTAATCGGTTGTTGAATGTAGGACTTGGGGACAGTCTCGAACGATTCCATACGATTTATATAAGATCTTGCCACGGTTGGACTCACTCGTAGAGTGGACTTCAAATATGGCTGTATATGCGGTCTCATTCGGCCTCACACGGTCTTGTACAGTCGCTTAAACGTTCATCCACGGACATGACATCCGTACCAGTGTTTAAAAAATTTTCAAACTCATACACGGCTTACACGGATACGCTCGAATAACCGGAGTGTAACTCAGTTAACCCAATGGTTGGTTTGGTTGTACGGTTTGCACGACTGGCCAAGCGTATAAGCATGTCTTCTATGTGAGACGGGCTTTAGTATTCTCGCTTTTCGGATACCTAATTGGTACAACCAGACCATTTCCACGTTTTTCTTTATCAATACGTTGCTTCAAAGACCATTGATAGGAATAAAACCGTTTTATGATTTCACTTTACATCGACGGATGACTATGTACTAGAACTGCTGTTTCTAACATTTATGGAAGACCTATTCTTTTTCATTGGTGATAATCCATTATTATCTATAATACATTGGCAGTATTTCTCTACATGCGTGTTTGGCACAAAACAATTATCGAATACAATAAGGTTTTGCGTTCATTGAGCGCCACCCTTCCTTGTAAGCTCTACTATTCGATAAGAATAAGCAGAACTATTTTGGTCACCCGAGCGTCGGCGTCGGTGTCGGCGTCCACGTCGGCGTCAGCGTAACCACCTATGTTAAAGTTTTTGTAATACCTCAAATATTTTTAAAGTCCATTAACATATGGTTTGGAAATTTTGCACTCTTGTTCACCATCATGACCTTAACCTTTAGACTTGAGGAGGTAACTGTATAAGGCATTTTGACAGAATAATGCCCCCCTTGTTGTTAAAGTTATTGTAATACCTCAAATATTTAAAGTCCATTGACATATGGCTTTGAAACTTTGCACACATGTTTACTATTATAACCCCAACCTGTAGACAGGAGGAGGTGAAGGTATCAAGCATTTTCACAGAATTATGCCCCTATTTCAACTTAGAATTTATACTTAGGTTTACATACTACCTCAGATATGTTCATATTTTTTTGAAACATGTTGAAATTTTATACTCTTCTTTTAAAAGGACTCTCTCCAAGGCCTATAACTTTAACATTGATTAAAAAAAATGTGGCCTTTTGTTATTAAATCAGAAAAATTTAATTATCAAGGCTCTTTTACTATCACGCTTTTAGAATAGTCGAGCGTTGCTGTCAACATCTATCTACTCCTATCGACAGCACTTGTTGATCTTGTGGTGCCTCGCGGGCCTTACGTTTGCAATATCCATTTGGTGCTAATTTCTCTTAAACATAAACACACTTTGCATATTCCCTTCATTTGACTGAGGAAAAGGGACCAAGTTTACCAGTTCATACCCAATGTTGTTAAGCCCAAAAATGACTTATTTTGTAATCCGTAAAAGATAGCCTGTTGCAATACTTTGCAATCAGATGATGCCCATTTTTTATTATTTCAGATTGGTGGTACAGCTCTCGTCGTATTTTCAATGTTGTTTTGTTAACATACACCGCATCGTTTGTCCCAACGTGTATCTGTCAGTCTTTCCGGTCATCTGTGTGTTAAATGTTCAGTGGTTGACTTATTTGTATAATCATTTTAAAAGTTTTTTTTGTTTATGTATTTGAAATGTATAATGTTATATATATTTATATGATTTCAACTAAATTATTGAAATTTTGGTTAACAAAAAACAATATTCTAAAATAGTGTTTATACTCAATTTTTTACATGCATGTCTTTGATAATCCCTAAAATTGAAATATTGACGTTTTTAAATTAATATAAAATTACTAAATTAACAACAGTCGTACTGTATGAATAAGGTGGTTTGTACAAAAGATATAGAAACGTTTCAATAAAATACTAAGATAAATAATTGAAAGAATCAGAATGTATAACAGTTACTGCTTTTAAGTTGTATAAAAAATAAATATATTGTTTACGAAAAAAGAAGAAAAATAGTCAAGATGTTGTCTTTTTACCTGCACACTGACACATTTATAAACAGGGGATGTGCCAGACTCTGAAGATACGGTTGGAATGAATACTTGCTTTTAAGTTGTATTTAAACCAAACAAATAAAATGTTTAATTAACAAAGAGTAAGACCTCATTTACTATAGTATTGACCCAAATCAAAATCTCCATGAAACAAATCAAATAAGTCACAAGAAAGTTATATTCATAAATGTGGGAATAAAAACAAAGATATTAATACCTGCGTCAAATCATTCTCTTTCTATATATACACACACACGGTTTGATAACTGGTTGATTAATTGGGTATTACGTAACTGACGTGAGGCATAACGTGCCGGTGCATTAATGAATTAAATCAAAGGGTTGATTAATGCTTCCGAGGGATCACTATGTTTCCAGAATTGAGACTCTTTCTTTTAAATTTAGAAAATTTAGAATTTAAAAATAAGATATGTTATTCTTTATAAATGTTTATAATTATTATAAAGGGATATTTGTTAACACGGAAAGTCCAGCAGAAATTGAAGAGAAAATGATGATTTAAGTATAATTTAAAGTTAAGAGGTACTTATTTACAAAACTGAATTGGTCAGCCTTGCCTGTAATCCTGTTAGACATCAATAATTACAAACGCTATTTTGATCGTTTTTTTTTTTTTGTTGTTGTGTTTTTCCTTTTGTTCGGTTTCAAGCTTGCCCTTCAATATGTATAAAATGCTTTATAAACAAAACATTTTACATGACTGAGTGTGAGATGTTTTGCTCAAATTCGTCTGAACATTTTGTAGTAACGTAACGACTACAGACTAATGATAAGTACAAAAACAACATTAAAATTATATAAAAAATTTATTCTGTCCGTTATGTATATTGACATAAACTGATTACAATTTGTTTGCTACGACTTTTGTAGTTGACTATGGAACCAGAAAATTACTACTTGTAAGTATATTTTACCTCGATCCATTTTTGAAGTTATTGCATCAAATCGACAGTGGTCCTAAGTGTGGCAAATAACAATCACATTTATCATAAATGAAAAAGTAAAAAATCAAATCGTACAAAAGTTTAAATAAGTTTACATGCATATGAAAAACCATTCTTGGTAAGTTAAAGTGAAAGACCATGACTTACTAGGTAATTTGTTAAAATGTATGAACATGCGAAATAAATATGCGCGACGTACAGGGTGGTAATAAAGAAATGTCACGTCGTAAAATGTTTGCAATAGTTAGCTACGTTTCCTTATAAAGATCTAAAACCAAATTCAACTTTACAAATTAAGCTTTCCTTTTTATGACCATTAAAATTGATCTAAATTAGACATTTCTAACACAAGTAAACCTATCACATACAGAAAAGGACCATGATTTTCAGATGTTACGGTAACAGTTTTCGGACAATAAATTGTACACGATAGATTTTCGTTACCTGTATCATTGTATCTCCCAGAAGCGACATCAAAAGAACCAGATACCACATTTAATGACATGATTTGAGAATGCAAAAACTGTTTCTGTAGCCAATTCGATTAAAATCAGCTCTTAAATAACGCTACGCATTAGGATCGTACATCCACCTTAATGTAGTCACCTTGTCGTGGTAATTCAAACAACCAACCATTGGCGAGCTTTCATAATTTTGAAAGTGATACATAGTAGATAAATTCGAGGCGTAATTCATTTAGCCGATAGGTAACCTGGAAAAAAATTCTTGCTCATTAGAACTTATTTCTTACTATTATTTAAAGTTAATTTGTTACAAATTATTGCACACACTTTTTTTTCTAAAAAAAATCAACAATTATTAAACTTCTGAACTTAAGTCAGATTGTTTTTTAGTGTAACTGCTGAATAAATGATAGTAATAATTGTCTCCTAAGTAACATTTATTGAAGTAATATGGTATTTGAATATGTTTAAAAAGTTAACGACAGGAATAATATTGAAACATATAAATCTATATCCGCTTTTTAGCGTAACAGTAAAATGGTTTCGGTCTTATAACAACACTGATATCAAAGTTCTCGGAAAGTCTCGGATCACACAAGATGTGCTTTCCTTCAGGAAACTCGAAACACCAGCGCTGCAAAAGGTTACTGACATACAAAAAATAACGTGTTTTTGCGAAGGATTCTCCAGGACATTGACGCAACCTGTTTCCAAAAGGTATCAAGCTGAAACAAAACAGAAAGATGTTACAATATCATTTCTTATGATGTTTCAACTAATAACTTTAACAATCTCGTTTAATATCATAATTAAGTCATTAAGAATGTGAAGATATTAGAGGTACAGTAAGAGTTTAACGGAAAATCATTAATTAACATTTCTTTCTATTATAATTTAAATATTATAGGCCGATCATGAGCTTGAATCTAGTAAACCATTATACTTCTTTCGCAATATGTGCTCAGAAGGCAGCACATTTCCATGTTCGTCCAAGAATCTCTCTGGGCGAAATGTCCATGGATCTCCCCAAATCTCCTTGTTGTGGTGGATATACCAACTATTCCCAATTACCTTAGAATAAACAGATAACTTTTAATGTTGTTGTATTCTTACAAAAAAATGTTTTCAAGGAGATATATAACATTTAACTGATATTGATAAAAGCAACAAAACTTTAATCCAGCGCATTAAAAGTGAACATCCAGGTACGGCTGCATAGAGATAATTAAGTGGTGCGCTCGAGAAACTATGATGTAGTACTAAGCAGCATGACCTGCGAGAAATAACAATATTCATATAGGACTGCATCATGAACTGTATGTGATAAGATAATGTGACCATAGAACCAGTTAACATGACCAAAAGGTGATTAAAATGTTCATGTGGAAGCAGACAGCATGACCTGAATGTGGTAAAATGTTGTTCACGTGGAAGCAGACAACATGACTTAGAGTTGATTAGATGTTGTTCTGATGGAAGCAGGCAAGAATACTTGTGACTGACAAAACAATGCACAGGTGGAAGCAGGGAACATGACCCGTAGATAATTGCAATGACATGATGTAAATATGATTATACAATCTTCAGATCAAAGCTGACAATTTGACCAAAGTCAAATAGTGAAATATTAATACATATCATCCACATTATTATATATCTATTTGTACTAAGGTGTTCAAAAACGTACCGTTTAAAACATCTCATAAACTTTTATTGAAGATAACTTACCGTACTGTTCATTGCAATATCATATCCTTCAAAGTCTACGTCTTCTTTGCATTTATGAGGCAACATAAGTGGGGCAACTGTAATGTATCTATGCACTTCCATCTCAAAGCTTTGAAAAATGAGCAATTACTTCTGTCTTTAACCAAACATGTTTGTATAAAGCTATGTTAATGTTTCTTAACAGATACGTTATATAATGGAAACCTCTTCGCTCATTGTACGGTAAATTGTGTGATGAAATAAAACCATTTATTATACGTTATTAGATCATTAAAGTAAAACTCCCATAGGCCTATTATGTGTTCTGATTGAATATCACTCTCCTAATATATATTCCCCTGGGAATATTTCTTATATCACCTTGGGGCACATAACTCTTGTATAACTACATATTCAGTATAGGCCTATTATATGTTCTGGTTGAATATCACCCTAGGATATATTCCCCAGGGAATATTTCTTATATCACCCTGATGTGTATTCTATTTTAATCCTTGACTGCGTACTTTATAAATATTGTAGTTGTAGGTCTTTCTGTACACATTTTGATAACACGTAATAGTAGACACGGCATGTGATAAAATACACTAATTACATGTGTAGATCTATTTGTTTATTACAAAAAAATGTTAAATGCAAGCTGTGGTGTCTACTTGTGACGATACAAAACAGTTACACTTATCTTACACTAATACGGTTACTACATGGAAACAAAAATAAGGACGTCAACAAGAACAGTTCTTTTTCTTGCAAATCAGACACGGTTATCTACTGTTTACACCCGTACTAGAAAGACCTGTCTTACACCCACCATGTAACACAAATCGCGTGTTTTGAATGACGCCATTCCCACGCGCCTTTTATGAATGAATTGCGTTTTAGGATGACTTCAAGTTGTACATTCATAAGCTATTAAAAGAAAATAATGTGTTGAATGAAAATATTAGTTTCGTAATTTCTTTACGTAATATCATTTATTTGTAATATGCAAGAAAAAGGACCAAACACCGGCTGCCGGAGCAGACCGGAATCCCTAGCTCTCGGGTAGCCTTTTTATAAACTTTCACTGTCATTTATACATTAGATATTTAAACACATTGTCATATAAATTAGAATTGTCATAATATTTTAACACATACCAAAGTTTTCTATTTAATTTTCAAAAGTTATAGATAGGTGTACATCAACCTATCAAACAGTATCAATTTTACTAAACCCTGTACAAAATGTAAGAAAGCAAACCTTGACATCGTGAAAATATTTCTTTACAATTTTCGCATTGACAGCCTTTGCCTTTAAGAATTCGTTTTTGTACCTTCCAGGGATATATCGTACAAATGGTAACACTGACATTATGAAGTTTACATAAGAATTCAGAAAAAAATCTTCAACGTGTATTTCATCCAGTAACATGTTCTTTTCTTTTTCATCGTCTAAAAGTGGTTCACCAATCAACTGTAAAATATGAAATCAAAAGGGTTTCTATTTTTCATCAAAGATTCTAAATGTACCAAGCATAACCTAATTTTAATTGCATATCAGACAGGATTATCTACTGTTTACACCGGTGCTGAATAAAGCCACTTTAAGTCTTATACCCCCATCCCACCCCCTATTTAAGATTTGTCGCGTGCTTTAAATGAAGTCATCCCCGCGCGCCGTTTGTGAATGATTTGCGTTCGTAGAAATGTCTCCATTTCGCTGTTATGAATGAAGTTGTGAATTCGTATGATACTATAAGAAAAAGAGCTAAATTAAGATTATGTTCGTGATTTCTTAATTAATTATGATGAATATGTCATATGCAAGAAAACAAATCAAACACCGGCTGTTGAAAAAGACACGCATATCTAGCTCTCGGGTTAATATTAAGCTAAATTTCGGCAGAGCCTCGTTACCGCCGTAAACATTTACCCTCGAGCTAGATATTCCGGTCTATACCAGCAGCCAGTGTAAGATCCTTACAATATGCCACACTAATTAATTAATTCTATAAAATGTTAATATTGCGTGTTTTATAATGATTTAAATTGTATAAGCTTGGACAAGAAACAGCAACAATTAAATAATCTTTTAAACCTTTCAAAAACAGCTATATAGAGGTTATTCAAGATTTTTCTATAAATCAAGTATTTATTTTCATGGAGTGACCAGTATGAAAATACATATTTCGCGAGTGGCGGTGGCAACAAATGAAGTATTGTAATTTTCATATCACAATTAAGAGGAAAATAAATCATGTATGTATTGTTTTTTTAGAATTTTCTGTTTATTATATATGTTATATCTTTTTTAACCTTACAATTCTTAAGGCTTCTAATTTAATTTTGTGTACTGGCTGTATTAAAAAAAGAAACAGTCAAATATGTTTCAGTGCAGTGAAATATATTTTTACAGAATGAAAATACGAGTTTGCATATTTTCTCTACTTAAAGCTCAGAGTATACGTGAATTAATGGGAGATAATTCATTTTTAACAATTTGGAATGTGATGAGGCATTTCAATATAACCAGCTAGTAAGTAACGCTACTTTATAGAAATGAAAAATCTCTATGGGAGACAATGAGTAAGCAACATAGTATCTCACTTAAGCCCAGACAGACTATATATTGTGCATCACCATATGACAAACATTTCAATATATATAGCGATTGTTTTGAATTAAATCTATATGAAGACATACTGTAACCTCAACATAACCTACCATCAGTGACAGAACATTTGAGATAGACTGAAATATTAAGGAAACACATTCAAAAATATTTTCATCCTCAATTCTCGTATGTAAATTAGATAATTCAGTCATGACGTTATTCTCTAAATCCCGTAGTCCACTACCGTAGGCATGCAAAGCTTGCATAACATGTTTCCTTGCAGTTCTATGAAACTGTCCTGTCCCATCAACCACAAAACCCAAAGCTTTGCTATTGCAAGCAAAGTGCTTTCCGTAAAATAACTCGGATCGATCATTAAAAACGTGCTTATATTTATCACCTCCGAAGCATTTCCTAATAATCCGTTCACTATTTAACACTACAAATTTATCAAAAAGTAGTTTAACTTGGAATATTTCTCCATATTGTTCCGCATATTCTGAAAATTTGAAATGCATATTCTCGTCATCAATTTCCAAGATACTTCCAAGTATAGGCTGACCTTTTGGTCCGACGAGCGCTTTACCATTTCCTTGCCTTCTTTTACTAAATAAAACATAGAGTAAAACCATTCCTGTAGCAAAACAAAACAGTTCAACAATATTTTTTTAACAGTCCAGTACACTTTTAATACCGAGTAATAACTTGTTTTTATTTACGATTAAGTAACTGCATTAGATTAAACCTTGGTTTAACACATTTATCGTAACCCTTTATAATAGCAAAACATCACTGATAAGATTGTAAATGTTGTGTAGTTGATAATTTAGGCCTAAACCGCTTTGTTTGTATTATGTAAAGTTTAACTGTAAATGGCATATTTCAAAATAAAAAAAAAATATGGCGCCTCATAGCATAGTGATATACTAATATATCATGTTGACAAATACAAACGAATATGAATGTAGCATAATAACACGATGCAACATAGCATGATCATATACAATGACATTTCTTAAGCTGCACGCCTCCAGATGAGCAAAATTATTTCGATAAAATCATACCTGAGAAAAATGTACAAAGATTTTAGGAAAGGTATAAAGATTCTAAATTCCTGTAAGAATTTACATGTTATGTGCGATTAATGACCGATTTTTTCAGTATTCATAACTATATTTATACTACGTTACTAACGCAGTTAGTGCTATTTTTGAATATTTTGACTCTCTTATAGTAATTAACATAGGTTGTAAGTGCCATTGATAATGTGTAAATTGCATTCTTTTGGTAACTTTACAATATTATACTGTTAAATATATTTTCAAATTTTAATGAAGATTACCATGAATCTGGATAATATTGCAGCATAGTAACATAACAACCAAAATTACTATAAATAAACCTTAGACTCTGCAAGTTTTATATAGTTATGTTGCTACATTACAAATAATTAAAAAGATAGTTATTGGACACAACAATCACTCTGAATCAAAGAATGAGTTTACCCTTGGCTCCTTAAGGTCAACATCATCAGCAATTCATAGGTGATACAAACGTAAGTATTTTAAAACAGTACAGTACAGTTCAGCACAGCACAGCACAGTACAGTGCAGTGCAGTGCCGTGCAGTGCAGTGCAGTGCAGTACAGTACAGAACAGTACAGTGAAGTGCAGTGCAGTACAGTAAAGCGCACAGCACAGGACAGCACAACACAACACAAAACAGCACACCACAACACAGCATACCGTAGCATAGTATTTATAAAAGTATAGTATGTTATTTATAATAGTATGTTACTATTTATAATAGACACAAGCGATATAAACTAGCTACTATCATTCACTTCCAGTAGGAGAAGACCACCAATCCTCTCCCATCTTAAAACTTATTCTATAATACTATAAAGTACATAATAGAATATATTTAATTCAATTACATAATAAAGCACTTGAAATAGTACCAAACTTTTACTAAAGGGAAGTATATGCAACTACATGTGTCATATAAAGCTATTTGTGTTATCTACCTTCATCTGCCATAAGTCATGAAATTTCAGTTATATTCCTTATCTTTTTCGTTGTTGCTAAGCATTAGACTTCTCCATTTATATCTTGAAAATAATTCGGGTGTTTACTGAAATAGTATATTAATTTTGTTTAATAACGATGCTGTGTAATATGTTCAAAAATATTTATATGACTAATTGACCAGTAATCGTCAATCTAATACTACGCATGCATATTTTTCATTTATCCCTTTTCCTCTTATTTAATACCAATCCTATCAATTTCAATTACGTTTTCACTATAAATTTTCTAGGTCCAACATTTATTTCAATCGACTAACATTGGTAAACAACACCTTTCTTTCAAAGAATAAAAACAAATAAAACACTATATTTGAATGTAATATCAGTTATCTCTATGACAAATAGTCATAACATAACCCATATGCAATATTGATTGTATGTTTACTTGGCTTGTTTGTATGTTGTTTTCCCAGCTATGTATTGACCATTACCCCGCAGCTTATAATCTTGTTTAAAAATTTGCGCACATGTTATTACAGAATTTAATATTTTGTAATCTGTGTCTACATTTTGTTTAGTTCCGCCCGTTGTAATCTCGTTTAGGGCACACGCATTCTTTTATTTGGGGACCATACGCCACTTTCCATGGAATGACACTACTGTATCACATTGAAGGTTCCATGATAACCGCCGTACAAACACATCTGCGGATGTTTCTAAATTCAACATTTCACCATTTTAGTGTTTAAATAATGAATACTGCTTAAGCCAGTGCTAGGGTGCGTGGACGGTAACTTGCAATTTCCATTACCGTCCATGAACAAGCTCAATCAAACCGAGCCTCCAACATTTTACAATTTTGCCGTGTTGGGCTTTCTTTAGGGATTCTGTTTTTCACTATTCCAAATAAAGAGTACGTTCTGTTCTGTTCAATTCCATGCACTACAGGCTGTACACTGTTTATGGTATTTTTGTAGACTATTACTCGTAAATGCCAAATACTGCCAGGTAATCTTCGTATTTGATGAAGATGATTTTAGTTTGAAGATTGTTATTTTTCTATAATTGTGCTCGTTGTTATTTTCTTGAGAAACATTGAACTGTCAGCAAAGCGAGCACCAATATAAACCTTTTCAGTTTCCTGCTTGTGTCGTGGTAGCTTCCAAGTAGACTGAGATTTTGATATTGTGGCAAATATTGTTTTTGTTTATGCATCAATAATCTTGGCAGTTTATTTATTTAGATATAATATCTAGAAACAAAACTTTTTATTTCCATTGTATTATGACAGAAAGAACGCTTTCAAATGGTTTCTAGGAACAAATCTATTAAATTTACCGCCACGATTTCAGATGTCGTTTGGTAATATAAGTATCACCTAGAGTCGAGATCAAAATCATTTCCCATTGACTATGACTGCATCTCAACCAAATACAAGAATTGGAAATTGGAAGTTGAATATATAATGATTATCATGTCTGAATTTAAAGCTAAATGCGAATGATTAAAAATCATTGAAAAGTAAATAAAAACATTCACATGCATATGCTAAACATTTTGTTACCCATTTTCTTTTTTGAATTTATTGCAAAAGCATAAGTTATTTACATTTTTGTCTTTTCAACGAATAACATGTTCTTATCTCAGTAAACAAATAATAGGCTTCTCATCTTGTTGATTTCCTATAATGAGGTAGCTCTTTTTCTGATTTCATAATATGGAACCATTCTAAAAGCACACAACTGATGACTGTATATTGCTATAGTATAGTCCAGATCGTTGTAATTTCAGTTGCTGAACATATTTTTCCCTTGCAATTATCCGGGCTAACGTATTTGCGAATTTACACTTGCGTTTAAAAAGATTCACAGCGAATAAAGAAATAGAACGACGAAACCATTGCATTGAATACCAAATTTAGCTATGCGTGAGAAAGCTTCCTCTTTAACACTATTCTAAAAATACTACTAAGTATGTCACATGTGCTGACTTTAGACAAGCGAATAAACATTCGTTTACACGCAATATTTCAAAAAAAAAATTATCATATACAATTTAAAGAGGAAAACAAGTTGAAAATCGAATTTAGTGTTGAAAGGAAAGAGACAACTAAACACTGCGCTTATGGTAAATGTAAAAGTGACTAAATATATTCTGACATGCTAGAAATTGAGCTCTTGTTTCATACGCAAACTAATAGGACGCCGGAGAAATGCACTTGGCAAAAAACAACAACAACAACAACAAAAAAATACAAAAAACAAAAACAAACAAACATTATTAGTTATAAAAGAAATAAGTACACCATAATCAGCCGATGCATTTAGGGACCCAGTATATTTATGGAAAAATTCGTATTTGAACGGAAGTCAAAATACCTCTATCACATTTTGCTACTTTTATGACAAATCATGTCACAATCATCACAACTTTTTTCGGGTAACATTTGACTTTCATTCCTTTCCATTTAACTAATTCCTTGCATCCATTTTACGCGCGCGTATAGCCTCACGTGTATCCAAAACCAGTGGAAACATGGATTCCTCATATATGTTTGGATGGGCACGATGTCGCTATCTAATGATTTATTTTACCGATGATTCGTTTTTTATTAAACGTCATGTGTCCATTTTCATCTCAGAGGAGATGTTTTTTAATTCTACATGTACTCTAGTTTATTTAAATAGTTAAAGTGTAAAAAGTAAATTTCTGCTACCTGCAGTTTACAAAATATTTGTTTGAACTTTGAGCGAATGTCGCGTTACACACAAACATTGCTTAATGGTAAAAATCCTCCTAATCGGAACATTTTATTGTGTTAACGTGTGTTATACAGCAGACACATTATATGCATATTTCGAGAAACGACGATAAGATTTTTGAAACATCATAAATGTACCGTAACATTTAATATATATAGTTCATAAGATATAACTTTATACCTTTTAATAACCCACATGTCTCACAGAAAATAAATAAATAAATAAATAAAAAAAAATTAATTAATTAATTAATTATTATCAATTATCTTAGTAACAATTGACATGTAATCTGGAGCGCAGTTCCTCAAAAATCAACGATAAGGTCCTGAAAAAAATCACAAAAAAGGAAAAAAGAAAGAAATTACACCAGAAGTACGTAAAACTTTACAAAATAATGCATTTAAGATACAAACAATTACGCAAGTGATTCCTCCAAAATTCTAAAGAACTCTTTGCTCGGGGGGCATGTCTTATTCAGTATCGAGATCCGCATATTTATAACTGATCCGCGTGTTATGACTAATTATGGAGAATGACGGAAACGGCCGAATATTTGCGAAAATTTGTAGCGTAATGGAATTTCCCTTCAATATATGACGAATGAAAAGAAGGAAAGTAAGTAAAATAGCTTTTGTTTGTTGGGGTTTTTTTATGTTTTTTTTCGTTTTCTTTTTTTTCCCCTTTTTTTGTAATATGTGAGAGCGTTTGTATATGATATTGTAATACAGCAATATGGAAGACAAACAAACAAAAAGATATTAACATAGGTAGCTTCCACCTGTTTCTGTTACTTTATCATATGCAAAAAAAAGATATAGAATAATGTTTAAAGTAGTTTGGGTTAAAATATCTTATGAAACCAGTTTGTTATTCCATAACCAAAAATCCAATAAATGTTACTGTGACAGACATGTATCTTTAATATTTATTTCAGAGCCATAATCGTATTACCGTTAGTTCTATGATAAATAATGAAGGTATTCAGTATAAGTTCTTAAACTAATAACTAGTATTCAATCT